AACATCCCGTTGAATAAATAGTAAATTTTTTAAAAGTAAAAATGAAGCTGATARTGCTGCATGATACGTGTTCAAAATGTTTGCTTGAGAAGYTTTTCAGAATTTCACTTCCGGGGYTTTGGGATGAAACTATTCTTCCCATGATGYTAAGATAGATAAAAATTGATAAAGTACGATAACACAATTAGCAGGACAAACAGAACAGTCGCAASACAAAAAATTASCTTCATTTAGCTTCGACTTTTTAAAGGGTCTCAAATTATTAGTTCATTTATAATACTGAAACGTTCGAAAAAAATAGACTCATATTTTGTTGCTCGCCTGCAGTTTTCCAGAAGAACATCAAAACTTTCAATTAAAATTCAATATCAGGACGGAAAACTAAATATTTTTGAAAATTTTAAAGTTCCAATGAGAGATTCAAATTCGGATGTATAAGAAAGAGAAGAAAATGCTCGACCAAATACATTAAGAGAATGCGAAATTGCGACTTGCTAAAAATGCTACGCGAAATAAACATATGGGAAAAGGAACATCAGAAAGGCTAGGAAAATCCAAGTAAATTTCAACTTTCAGAAAAAACTTGAATGGGCATATCAAAGGCATATTCATACCTATGTGGCTTTAATCATACAAGGAAAATACAAATGCAGAGAACAAAATCAATTTATTATTTAAATCACCATTTAAATCAATCAACGTTTCTTCCCCACGTCTGTTATAAATTAATTTAGTATAACAGAAATACAGTGACTGCACTTTTTGCATTTTTAACCGAAAAATCATCTGAGATTTCTTCTGTTGTGCTTAGCTACTTCTTTGATTTATCACCAAATAACGGTTGTGCTTCATTCAGTTATAGCTGTCGAAATGCTATTTACTCAAAGAAAGAGAAAATGCATTTAAAAAAATTTGAATCAAGTCAAGAAACCGAAAATAACGTTAAAGTGTACTGTTTAGTAGACAATTAATTAATATGTTTTTATTCTGACCGTAGAACCGTCTTGTCTAGTTTCGCTCTAATTCCTCAATTCCAAGATTAATAGGCCAACAATATTAAGATACATTAGTCAGTTCATTGAGCTGTTAGATTTCCGCATTCTGATTCTCGTCGATAGTTGGACACTGATACACCTAAAGCATATTTTGGCTATTCTCGCAAATTCTGGCAAGTACATTGGAATCTATCTATTTGTACATATGCATATACAGGGTGGTCCTCAACCCTTAACTAATGTGCCAAAATTCACTGACAAATTCTTTAGGTCAAAATATTGCGTTTCAAGCAAAATTGTCTCATCTAAAAGTTAATAGTTTATGAGGTACCTACTGGGTGTCAAAGTATAAATACAAATTTGGTTCATTTTTAATAGATTCTTAACCCGGTGGGTTTACTATGACCATTAAAATTTATAATTGGAAGTTTTTGAGAACGAGCAATAGAATTCCAATTTCCTATTACCTAGCTTGTAGATCCTACAGGGCGCTACTAGCAATAGTCTTCAGCCACTTAAAGCATTAGATTTTTTGGGTTTTGAAATATCGCTTTTTCATTAGCCATGTTTCGTTCTACGATATTCTCTAAACAAAAAAATTGTAGTGATTTCAAGTTGATAGATCTCATCGTTTTCGAGAATATTTCACATTGAAATCTCTGGTAATTCTGATGTGTGAACTCAAATTGAATTCCTAATATTGTGGTAAATTGAGATTGTTATGGTGGACCATGGACGAAATTTCCTTTACCATCAGTTTAATGTCAGTTAAGGCCAGAAGATGTACCTTTTATTATTACATTGAATTTATTGAAAAGTAATGTAAGTAAAGTAAGAAAATTTCCCCACATTACTTTCGAATGTAGAAAAACACGATATTGTTTGTGTTTGTGCGCAAGATAATTTTAAGTGCGGAAGAAGAATTCCTAAACTACAATTAATGTTTTTCAATACGACAATAATTTATTAAAAGGGTTAATAATTTATTAAACGGGTTCATAACAATTATAATGAAATCATATTTTTCGAAGTTTTTGCTTAGTTTAAAAAGTAGTTTCAAGTAGTTCTAAACGTGCCTAAAAAATGCTGTTTTAGTTTATTTATATTTTTTAAAGATCCAAAAGCAGTGAGAGATATCGACTAGGAAATTGTATGCATTTTTCATTTACAAAATAGCATAGAACTAAACATGTCCCATAAAAATGTGATATTTTAAAACTCAAATCATTTTTGATGTTTTAAATAGTTCCAGACTATTGCAGATTCCTGGATTTAGAAGCTGATAATATGAAATTTGAATTTATCGATCTAAAAAACTCCCAAACACAAATTTGCATTGTCATAGTAAAACTGATTAAGGATCTCTAAAAAAAAACGAAAATTTTATTTACGATTTGACACCCTGCATCTCGGAATCTATTAACTTTCAGGTAATACAAATTTGCATAAAACGCAATATTTCTGACTAAGCTCCATGTCTTCGAATGTCCTTGTCCATGCCATGAATTATGTCAATTATGTTACATTAGTTTAGCACTTCCCTGTATAACTTATTCAACTGAATACTCTGATCATCTCATCTCAGAAATCTCAGAATCTCGTTTTATCTCAGAAACCGATACATATGTTAATAACTTCAGCTAATAAATAATAACTAAACCAAAGTTTAAAAGCTTATTTTCCCGAAACGATTAAAAGTTTCACAGCAATCTATAGAAAATGTTGTATGAAGGGTTCCCTGAACCGCTTTTCTTTATTCGGATGAATCCAAAATTTAAGAGCGAGAGTAGAAGATTATGGACATCTAGATTTTAAGAGACATCATGGAAGCGGTATAAAGTATTTGATTTATCATCAAGAATATTTGGATTAGGGGGCTTAGGGCCTACCTTTTCCTATTAGGAATTTATATAAAATTTCTAATCCTAGAAAGGCTAGAAGTGAAAGCATCAAACTTTAACGAGGTCTCAAAGTTTCAGAACTTCAATCCGAAAACGCTAAAAATATTGAAGTATCCATACGAAGGTTTGCTATGACCCGCTCAATAACTGCCTTTCCATATGAAAAATCTAACATTTAAAAAGTTAATCATAAGTACCTATATCAGATTTGTGCTCTTTAGTTGAACACTTATCTAAAAATCCATTAAACTATATGAATCTTCCGTAAAAGCTTTTCGATAGAGCGCTTTTGGAAACCTATTTCTAATTAAACGCACCAAAATAGATCAACAACTCAATGCGAAACTAAGTGCGCTGCCATTTCGAAAAACCCGCTATATAAAATCCGCAAAAACCGAAACGGAAACCCTCTCAAAAATTCTCAAATCTGCACATGCGAGCAGCATAAATGCTATCAAAGAAAAACTACAACCCCGGTTGCCATTTACTTCTACAAAATAAAATGCTGTCTGCATCCAGACCGCCGAAATTTCCTCAAACCCGATTTTTCTTCAAAACACTGAACGAAATTTAGTGATTCAACATTAACAGCATTTAAACAACATTAACATTTAAAAGAACAGCCGCATGTCTGGATATGATCTTGATTTGGACCACATGAACCCTGAAGGCACTAGACAGCAATAAAACTGCAATAGTAGGACGAATCCATTCACAGCAAAACTGGCATAATTTTTTAATATATTTTGCATGATTTGTACGCCTTAAACTTTTATCGTAATTTTTGGTCAAGGCTTCCTATAGAAAGTTATGTATGCCGTTCGGATTTTTTTCCAGGAATTTTTGATGGGATAAATTCGACCTCTTTACATTTTGAGCACCTTCCCGTTTTTGAAATTTTTTTTCAAGATTTTATCTAGTCTGCCTTGTTTGACTAGAGAACTGCCTGGTTTACTAGTCAATTGTTTTCACTGCCGAAATGCATATTGTTTTAGAGTATTGAGATTTTCGCGGGAACAAAGCTCAAATGTTGCTTAGCAAAATGAAACTCTGAGTATATTTAAATTAGTCAAGTTTGATTATTAGATATTAAATATCTAAATTTTTCGTTGTGGTTGAGAATGTAAAGCAGATGCGGTTTTACCTTTTGCTTTTGAATAAACTTATATAGTTGATGTACCTACATGTACATAAGATTTAGTGCTGCTACGTAAAACTTTCGGTTTTCAATACAAACAAATTTAGGTTCTTTAGGATGCGGCGTGTAAACGGGTAGTGAATACTTATGCAATTTCTCAAATTTCAATAACTTCTATATAACATAAACCAATTTTCATCATTCGTGTTAGAGCTGAATATTGCAAAGCTCGCTCAACAAGTGAGTTGGATTATTTTATGTTCTGATTACTGCAACTAACAATAATATTTTTGCAGCTCTTGATTTTTAATTTCCAAGACGTTCGTATTGTAGTAAAAAATCTTTTTAACATTTGCTATGTTCATTGAGCTCATATCTATTCTTTAATATTTAGGAGGCTCTCATTTGTCTTTGTTAAACTAATTTTTGTCAATACTTCAAGAGAAACATTTCCTTCTCAATGGAGCAGTTGGGCTTAATGAATTTCTATCTTTTAGTTTAATTAATTTTCTCTTTAAATAGATACTAAATATTTTATTATGGTCGGGTGTATTTTGTTTGTCAGTTACCGAATTATAAGTGAATACCCAAAATAATGCATTATCATTCCCTTATAAGCTATGGAATCGTAAACATTATACATAGTCATCCATAATCAATGAGTTGCGTTGACCTTAAAAATTGCGTAATATTTGATTAATATTTAGCGTCTGGAGAGATATTGCAAATATTAATGTTTTGCATACAGATACGACCGAACCTGGAGAAACATAATTACAAAATCGCCTTCAACGGGCTAAAAACGAATGTAATTTCAAAATCTGCGATTTAAGAATACGAACATTATTTGAATTTTATAATTATACTATTTATATATATTATATATAATTTACGGATACGCACTAATGAAAATTTAATTTAAAATAGCGTTTTTAAAATTTACTTTTACACGAACGTTTATTACAGAGAAGATATGGAGAAAGTCAACATTAAGTTTCACGATAATGGAACCGTCTCTTACCAGCAGAAGAAAATTCTAAAGTTTGTACCTGAATTAAGTGTAGACAAAAATCACAAGATAACAGTACCAAATATTCCATTATTGGTAAGTATATTTTATCTTAGTGGATATTCGCGTATAATGTTATTGAGTCATTTTAATGTGATAACGAAACTATGACATTATGTTATATGTTTATTAAAGCGTAAATTATTTTTATTCAACCAAATACAAACTTTAAAACATTAATTGAAACTTATCTCCTTATACATATATTATTTACCATTATTTGCAATTTCTTTATGCTTTATCAGCTTTTTAGTTTCAATATGTATTTCGTAACTATTGTCACTCTCGCTTAAATAATAAAATTCTCGATTTACAGAATGCTAAATAATTATAAAGATAAGTCAAAGTGGCTTAAATCAATTAAATTAAAAAACGAGAATACATGTAGGTGGTTGTATAAAATTGGAGACCGTTATTTTGATTATCAGAATTCCATTTCCTAATATTATTTATTTATAAAATTGTTTCTTTGTCGTCATTAAATTATATGGTATTTATTCTTGAATTCGTTAATATTACATTTTCTTAATAATGTCGTTTTCCATAAAAACTTGATTAACTGGGGCTTAATAATCCCTTCCTGGTTAGAAACCGGTTTTCATAATTTATCAAAATCTGTTTTGGACAAGAATGAAACAGACTTTGTACAATACAATTTTCCAGACTTTGTCATCGCAATCTAATAACTTGGGATGGTTCGTTCAAAGAGCAATTTCCGTCATGTTAAGTATGGGGTCACTGAAGCCTTTCGTAAATATCACTGCTGATGAACTAGTTTTTGGATATGATGATAGCTTGGTTTCGTTAGCTCACCAGTTTTACCCTAAGAGGAAAAAGCCTCAGAACAAAATGGGACTCTTGATAACTGTGAGTATTATTTATCACCCACTGTTTCTTCTTCTATTTACTTCGTACTCTGTTCTGAAATATCGTGTGTTTTTTAGAGGAATGGAACATTATCTGAAGTACAAAATATATATACAGGTGACACCGATATGCAGGAATTTGGACTCCTTGCCAGGATAAATGGTAGAGAAACGCTTCCCTATTGGAGCGATGCTCCGTGCAATGATTTGAGGGCCAGTGAGGGCTCATTTTTTCCTCCTAGATATTTCACGAATAAAGATATGGTGTACATATACGACAAAGACGTGTGTCGGACATTTCCTATGCAATATAGAGCTTCAGGCAGGAAACATGGTAATATTTAAAAGTAGTAAAAAGTAATATATTAACAAGTGCTAAAATGATGGCCATGTGCAGGCACGGGAATTGGCAATTTTCAGGGAAGTATTCTGCGAAAAATCTGAAAATGAATGAGCTATATCAAAAAAATGTATAACATTGGCAAAGGCAGATGCACATTTAATTGAACATATTTATTCAAGCACTCAAAAAATGTTTTTTTTTGCGTGTGTCTGAATGTGTTTTATGGGTGAATTTCTCTGCTTATCCTTTGCCTGTTTACTAAATGATCTATTTTATATTTAAATTATGATGTGTAGTAGTAACTTTTCTGCATTAAATTCTAATTTTCAGCTTTTATCAAGTTTTAAGTTAGTTTTGCGATTTTAACGCTTATTTCTTTTAACAATGTAAACTTAAACATGTTCTGAAAGTTAAATGTAAACTTTCTAGTCATTAACTGGAAAATTGAGCGACTAGTAATTATTTATTATTTTTATCTAGGCCTTGACTACGACCTGTACACATCTGCTGACAATATTTTTGACTCTGTAGACGAGAATCCAGAAAATAAATGTTTTTGTCCAGGAAATGAATTCTGCCCACCGAAAGGTTTGCAGAACATTAGTCCGTGTCAGTACGGTAAGTTATATTTGAACATTATCTTCAAATTTTGTGTTAAAACGTTCAAATTTCAACTAATAGAAGTTTTGAACATGGACTACGTTACTGTTGTTCGTATAGTCAGCTACTGTTGGAAGTTTGAAATTATTTAAAAATTAATATTTAATAAATAATAAACACTTTTTGGTAAATGCCTCGGAAGACATTTTGCAAAAAATATTGCTCCAAAATGATGACCCAAATTTAGGACGGTTGCAGCAATGATATGGCAGAGTGACATCCTCAACCCAATTAAGTGGATTTAATGCAAACATTTTTAAAGTCAGATTACATCAGCGAATGGAGTTCTGAAGTAATCTTGAATACATACGCACAAAGCGGATTTCATATTAATACACTTGACGATTTCAACATCCGCTCGAATATATTATACTAATTTTCGACATTGTTATATTGATCTAAATATTTATAAATCTTATACGACATAATATATATAACAAAAGTAAAACTATTATTGCAGATGCACCTGTATATCTGTCTTTTCCTCATTTTCTTGATGCTGATCCTTCTCTCTCCGCAGCGGTTGAGGGTCTAATTCCGAAAAGGGAAATACATGAATCGTATTTTAAAATTCAACCGGTAAGATCAGAAACATTGTCAAAATTAGTAAATAGGATCAGGCTGGTTTTTGTGTTCTGTTACAGAAACTGGGTGTTCCTGTTGAAGGCAAAGTCAGAGTGCAGCTAAACTTGAGAGTTGAGCAGGCTCCCTTTATAACTCCTGTTAAAAACTTCAAAACGATCATATTCCCAGTGATGTGGTTAGAAGAGGTATGTCGTAAATTTTCAAAAATTTCGCAGATTACTAAATTATATTATTGAGACATTTGCTATTACTGGGTTCGATTATATTAAACCATTTAGGAACTAATGTTTTACGCTTTTCTTCTTCTACGCTTCCTAAATACAAAGACTTCACACTTTGAAGCCTCCGCTACATTTAGTTCACTTCGTTTCAATATTCGGTCATAAAACGTGTTTTCGAAATTAATCCTACTAATTATTGAATTGATGAATTTCTTTCATTTAATGTTCGGTACTTAATTTTTGTTCTGAGAATTTTATTTGAAAACATCAAAGTGTTGGTATTAAATACGTATATTTTTAATTCTCAATAAAATTTAAAGTGCGTGTATTTATTAAATGTAATTTGAGGACAAACGCTAAGGTCTAACCTTAGCTGAAATCAGCTTTTAGTAGAAAAGTTTGATGGTTTCGACACATAGCGCAATGCGATTCCATCAGAGTCTGCAAAAAAAAATAAAACAAAAAAAAAATAAAACAAAAAAAAAAACGATTTATTAAAACGGTTATTTAGTTTGGAAGAAAAGGTTTGAAGGTATTCCAACTTTTTTCAATTAAAACAATTATTAAACTGGTTTCATGAGATAGTTTCATAACAAGTTGTAGTTTTTTATTCCAGCTTTCCAAAACGAAAATAATAAAATAAAATTTTATATCTAAATGTGATTGTCGATTGTAGATATCTAAATATAATTACAGAAGATTCACTTTCAGTTTTTAAGTATAATAAATGATTTAAAGTTGTTTATTTCTGTTAAACTTTGCAACTAAAACTATTTAGTCCTTCCATTTGGTTCTTGAGAAGAAAACAATTACAATTTATTATAAAACTTGTAATGAGGGGTAGTTGGGAGCCTCAATAAACGAGTGTATTTCTATTGATAAGATTACATTTTTATTTTGGAATTGGCTTTCAATTCCAGCTCCAGGACGAAATTTACGAAACAGTGTTCTCATTTCGATTACCAAAGCAAAAATCGTATAGAAAAATTAATACATTCGAACAAATTCTTTCAAATAGTTAATTTTGATCTACTCCACTTTACTGGTCTAATTGTGGTTTCTTAAATGTAAAGTGTGAAATAAAACTCAGATTTAAAATAAGAATGGAAAAATGTACTCGAATTTAATTTCTTCCTAAAACACTTTTTATATTTCAATTCAATTAGTAAATTACTTCAAGTGTTTTATTTTCAATTGAATATTCCGGTTAAAGAAAATATGTATTTTTAATAAAACCATATAAGATGGGGGGAGATATCTGAAAACACTAAAAAGTCCCATAAGGAACCGAGTCAACGAGGCAATTAAATTAAATTTCATTCATTTTTTAAATTCGTCCGAAAGAGAATTAAGTTTTTTACTTTTCTTTATCTTTTTGTACTAGTTTCAATTCATATTGAATAAACAACGAAAACTCATGATATGATAATTAACAATTTTGTAGCATTAATTAATTATTCAATTGCACTTAGAAAGGATATGAGTAGTTAATACTTAAAATTCCTACGTAACTTTATCAGACTTTCATCTGCAATGTCGCTGAGTTAATATAACTTCTTTTCGTTCTGATAATATAAGATAGTACTGACTACTTTTGGAAGAAATAGAATTATCTGGAATATTACAATAAAACCTTCGTCAAATTGTGTAAATACGTTCCGCAATATTTGCGTTTTTTTGTCTCATCTCAAGTTATCTTGCATACTTTTCTAAATATCTACTATTTGAATGATTGTCGATAAAAATGCGTCAATACCTGTGTATAAATTTACGCATCGACAAATTATGTTTTTTGGATAACGAGTTTCCTTCAGCTTTCTCTAAAAGCAGATACGCATCTGTTGAGGGTTTTTAGTTTTTTTTAGTCGAGTGTAAACTTATCTTAGGGAGTAATTCATAGTTTCACATGTTTTTCTTTATTATTCTTAGGGAATTGACGAATTGACGCCACAAATCAGACGTTGGATGTATTTGGCTACGACTTTTGCAGAAATTGCATGTCCACTTATGACCTATGGATTTATCTTCTTTGGCAGCTGTCTGATAATAGCCGTCTTCGTTAATGCCTATAAATCTCTGGTGTTTACCAAGAAAAGCATCGAAATTGGAATGAAAAACCTGCGTAGACGAAGTAGTGTTTTAATCGCGGCACCCAACAGGTTCGAATTTCAGAATTAAGCACAATTGAAATCCACTATAAATTTCAGCACAAACCGACGTTACATTATTTTGATTGAAACTTTTGTTGCTTTTAGAGGTTTTGTTTCACCTTTTGCTAATAAAAAACTCATTTTGCTTTTGCAGTAGGTTCCATTTCGTTTAAACTCAGTTATTAATCAAGAATCTTTATACATTAAGGAAAAGCGAATATTTTGAACACACAGTAATAATTACTCGTGTGATCAGTTTCGGAGTTACTCTTGGGTGTAGCTTGTATTTGTATTTCATTAAGTTTATATAATATGTTTGACTGTTTGTGACTTTGCTAAACTCGTTTTTATCTTTTTAGGTTTATTACAAGAAGAGAAACTTACACACTGTTAGATTTCCAAGATGTAGACGCGGATGGTGAAGTGTAGATAGCTATGTTAAACGCCTAGGAAAAAATCGAATTAATAATTTGATTGTTTCAATTTAGAAATTCAATACATATTTAAATGGTTAGTTAAGAAAAATATTTTTGAAACATTCCCATTTGTGGTGCTGAACTGCCAAAATGTATATCATTGTTAACTGGCCCATGACTCAATAAAGGTGACTTTTACAAGGAATCACTTTATAATATTAACTAATATTCAATAAACCCAGTGGTGGTTCATCACTTGTGTTACTGTTACAAAAAGCTTTGCAAACATTCGAATATGTAACAAACTAAAAATGTCTTCTGTACAAATTATAAAATGATTCGGCTGATTAAGACATACTCAAACTCAACTCGTGGTGGATGTTTATTACATTTGGTAAATTATACTTCGTTACTTTTCAATTTCACCGTATTTGTGCTGATATTGCCAAAACGGCAAACTTAAAAAAAAATGTCTTAAGTTTTACGTAATATATTTTGAAAAGTTAACAAAATTATACATATTGCGTTTTTAACCCCACTTTTATATTCAGTGAACAAAATGAATTCTTCCTGTAAAATTAAGTTAAAATTTGCACAAGTGAGCATGCGTATTTGATATCATGATTTTGTACTAACACATTAACTAATATACCGGTTGTTTAAAAAACATATAAAGAAACCGTTTATTGATATGAGAAATTATAATAGCATGCATTGTTTGGCAAACATTCTATTGTGCCAAATCCCCGTATGTACAGCAATCACTGCATCACAGTATAGTGTAAAAATATTTAAGCATTAAGCAAAAGATATTTTAATGTTTTTGAAAAGGGTTTCCTTTTTCTTGCAATGCAATTGTAATGAAAATATTAAATTTATCAATTAACAATTCAGACGAAATTCTTGGATATATTTTTTTTTCCTGTAGCAGTTGTTCAAGTACGTTTCAGGGGTTCTTCCTAAAAGTTTCATAAATGCAGTGTAATTTTGATTCAATTCTACAATTAAAGAAACATCAACAATAATCTCTGTTCGTATGGTCACTAGAAATTATAATAATTCGTACTTTTACCAACAGAACATAAGATATTGGACATGTGAAACAAAGCAATTCAAATATATTTTGAATTTTCGTAAACAACCCGCTATTGATGAGCGACAAAAAGTTACAAATTACATTGTTTGCCCAAAACTTAAACCAAATCATCAAATAGTTCATCCTGGTAAAAATTGATATTCTGAAGTTTGATACAACCTCATTGGATTKTTTTGTTGTTTCTCAAAATGTTGAAGCTTCTAATTGYGTTCGGTTATTGCAGCATTACACTTTTGTGCCAAATTCAACTCACTATATTTGATGCCTATTTCACAAATTTTGAAGGCCTGCCTTTATTGTTGCCAGTGGCTAATCATGCATAAGTCTGGATTTAGATATAAGCAATTGTTAGGACTCTTAGAACAAATAATTAATTTTGATGTATTAAAAAAACGAGATTCATATTATGGAATGAATGTCGAGACTAACGTTATATTGGTAATATTGAAAGTTTAGAACAACTTAAGAAAATCTTGAGAACAAAAGCGGTGCTAACATTAATACTGTCTGATCAAAAATATACTTTAGGTAATATTAAAGGAAATAATCATATATGGACTCTTTGGTATTTAAAAGGTACCTTAGGCAAGTGTTTTAATTAAGGTCTTGAAATCATATAGCGTTTCGATTAAGTTACTTCAACGTTAGAGTTTCAAAGCTTTTGGTGATAAACGTTCAGTTGATAACTTCCAAATTTTATTGGCTGATTATAAAACGATTGTTCTACATTTTATTTCAATAAATTACATTCCGTCTGTTAACATTTTAGTGTGGAGTTGACTGAACCCTTGAAGCTTAAGCTTAAGCATTATATGTGCTGATTACGACAATTGAAATGCTATATAATATTCATCAATATAAAATGTGATATCATTTAAATTATAAGGGTTATTGTAAATATTTTATACTTTTACATCTATTTTATATTTATCTTCAAAGTGTTCGGGTTCTGGTTAGTTGTTATTATTTATATAGGTGAAGATACGTTTTGCTCAGCGATGCTAGTGATTTATGTAAACATAGTTACGTTTTGCAGTTGTGTGTAAAAATTAATATAAAACATTTACCATTTTAAAATAATAACTAATGTTTTCACATAACGATTGTATATTTTTGGAATAACCTTTGGCAATTATAGTTTTAGAAAAAAACTGTATGGTTTATTTGGAATCCTATGAATCACGACAATTAATTTAACGTTTTTAAGTTACTTGAGTGCTGCTCATCAGTAGCAAATGTATTCGTCATTTGACTTTATTAACTTTATTAATTAGTGTACTTATATTTAAATTACAAAATGCGTTTTATCAGCGAATATAAATCTGACATATCTAAAAGCGTTTTAACATTACCTAACAGTTAACTAAAATGTTTACCTGTTATTGGTTATATGTATTTAAAATCCAATGAAAACTCATTTTTAAAACATCCCTTGACCTCTAAAAGCTGTCGAGAATTTTGTTTAAGAAAAGTTATAGTTTTGCCGCCGTGTAATCTTGTAAACCAAGTGTTGACGGATCTACCTTTATATCGACGATGATGACAAATTTCACATTTACCTTCAATTGGGGTACGGTTTTAAATATCTTTACAACTGAAAGTGATTACAGATTGTTTCGAGCAAAAACAATTTTCTATAGACAATTTCTTTTCATTACGAACGGCTATTATAGATATTGATATACCAAAAAAATGAAGCTAATCTGAAGAACAGTTAACTAAGTTTCTAATGTTTATGAATAGCCAAAATTGTAAAATATTGAACAATGAATACGATAGTTCCAATTAAAGAACTTCATCCCGTTACTGAAATAAGAATCCCTATAGGGATCAGAAGAAAAATGGCAAAAATTATCAACAACTGTTCAAAATCAGTCAGATGGAAAGAATGCAATGAATATCCCAGATAATAATTAACTGTGACTGGGAAGAACTACCGGAATTATCGTAAGTAGCGAAGTTTGAGATGGATGATGGAGTTGGATCACTATTCGAACTCGGAAAGTCGAACTAAAATCGGCAAAATTATGTATTGATTATTGGTGAAAATTTTACTCTGTTGTAATTTAAAAAACCGTTTTAAGGTTACTAATTTACTTACTTGCAAATGTGAAGTGCCCTCACCATTGGAGATTTCAAGGTCTTGAGAGTAGATTCATGTGGTATCATCGTAAATGTTGACTCGAACTCGTCAGGACTCGGGCTGGGATATAACAGTGTCTTTGAAAATGTTCACTAAAAATTCCTTATTTCACATTTTCGCACAGTTGATTTAAATATCTTTCAGACGCAGTTGTAGCAAACACATTCTCCTTTCTCATTTTTCGGTTTAGTTTCATTTTAGCCAGTCTTTGTTTTGGTCTTGAACCCATGCAAAACGGATTTCAAACGTACCATTGTATTCTGCAGCGTATTTTTCTTTTTATTACGAAATTTTCCTTTGTTCCTTTTCCTTATTATTCTTATTGACACTTGTTGCAAGCATTAATCGTGTGTTAACTTGTTGCAGCCATAATTTTCCTTTCTTGACGCTACTTAAATTTAATAGCTAGTTTGGTCATTTTACTACACCATAAATTCAGGAACGGATGCTATAAATCTTCCTAAATTAATTGCTCTTTGGAAGTAGCCGCGATCATATTATAATATTCTATTTTCGTATTTTGTAAATAATCGCCGCTTTACAACACGCCGCAAAACGAAAGACTTAAAAATAGCACATCGGATATCTAGGTAAACCCAGCATTCAGTATTTCAGTTTCGTGTTTCTAAAACATGAACAGATGTTGGTGTAAATTGTAAGTTTGTGAAATAATAATTGTTGTTAATTGCGCTAGAGAGAGAAGTGAAAATTTGCAGCATGTCTCGATATCGGTCTGATCCAGAATCTTTGGACTTGGAAAAGCCAAGTGCCTGCTCCAATTTTCTACACTATAGCTGGAAAACGATAACGTGTATATTTTCGCATGTAACTCTCATATCCATGGTGGTTTCTTATTGTTACCTCGGAGCGGTCACATTTGAGGCACTGGAAGTGAATCATGAAAAAGAAGTAAGGAATGACCTAATTTCATTGTACTTGCTTATGGGACATCAAAACTGTATTGCAAACAAATTAAACACTTGGACACATTGTTGACGTACTTACTTCTTATTTTGGCTAAGTGAGAGATTCGTATCAGTTCAGAATGGAACAACTTCAACGATTATAATAAATAACTTTTATGATAAAAGTCTTGCAGCTATAAAATAAGGTTATTTTAAATATTAATCAGCTTCGATGTTTTATTTCAATAAAATTTTGCTTCAACTAGCAAGTGTTCTAATCTCCTTACCAGGTAAAGAAGTCAATTAGACTGATTCGGGACAACACCACTCTGTATTTATGGAATTTTACCCAAGAAATGGATGCCTTAAAAGAGGAAAACTTTGTGCCTGTTGCTGAAAAATACCTGAAAGATTTCGAGAATTCTCTTCTGAAGTCCATGGCAAAGGATGGATGGGATGGAGAAGAAGATCCAAATAAAGTGCAATGGACCATGGCAGGAGCATTATTTTATTCGATCGTCGTGATTACAACTATTGGTAAATATTAAAATTAGTAAAACATAATTTTCATTTGTGTTTACAATGGTTATAAACTCCGCAAGTAATTATTAGAAACGTATGGTTCCATTCTATTAATAATAAAAACTGAATTTAATGAAATGCAATACTGCTCAATTTAAAAAAATATTGAAAAAAGTACTCAGAGCTTAACGGTATTGCTATCAGTTCCGAGCTTTGATTAATAAATGTAGGAATATTGTATAAACACGCACCAATCGAATGAACAGATTTTTGTAATAATTATTGAAATGGGGGCTTTCCGATAGGTTTTTTCGTAAAAATTCGATTCAAAGTCCTTTTATTTTCGCCATTCCATTTGTGTTTTTTTGTAGCGTTTCCTATCGCTTGTGCTGGAAAGACACACAAAATACGTAATGTTATTATTATATTATTATTCTATAGTATCTGCCACACGCTCGTTCCCTAATACTATATATTTATGAAGATTATTGTTACATGCATTCAGACCGCATTCAAATTATGGTTTTGGGAAGCGCCCTAGTTGCTTCATCCAAGACGCTCAGATAACAGGCCTGCTAATTCTGAAAGTTTTGTTAATTATAAAATAATACTAAAATTAAAACTGTAAGTTTTTCTGTATTTTATTTTGCCTCAAAACACAAATAAGGAAAACATCATTTACTTTGTTAAAACTAAGATAATTTGACTTTTTAGAGCTAAAACCTGAACAATATAATTTGAAAATAAATACAGCGTTTTCTACTAGATTATTCCGAGCTTCAGAATTCAAAACCTTAATTAATCGATATTTCTAATGGACGCTTCACTTGCGTGAATCAACAGGTGAAGTAAAATATTAAAACCGCCCCTATCGATTTGGTTTCAATTTCAAAAGTCCTGTTGATTTGCTTTGTTTTGTTGAAAAACTACAGTATATAGTATTTTCTATATATACAGTATATTGTTTAAAGCAATAGCACCTATATTTACTATATATTAAAAATTTTCAGTAATCTTGCATACATTAATCTAACGTTAAAAACCAGTCTTTATCGCAGCTATTTGGATTTGTTTTTAGGTAATTTAAGATCTGCAAATTCCCCAATATTCAAACTTGTGACAATGAGCAGCTATTGCTCAGTCGCAGGTATTGTAGATTTTATTCCAGGTTTTTGAAGATCTTTTAAGAATTTTTGGCTTGCACACTCGACTTGGCTGATCGTCCCAAACCGAATGGACCATCGTAGGGTCCTCCAGGTCCCACCAATACTCCATTAGCCGGGGAATATTCATTGGGCTCTATAAATAGTCAGACGAATTAGTTTCTAAAGATCGAAATGGACAGATAAACTATATTAATAATAGTGCTTATTCATTAATAATTATTCAGAAAAATATTGAGGTGTAAATCAACTGGATCGGATTTTGGAAAATAAAAAGTTACGGGGTGTGAGTACTTAACCTGAACTTGGTTATTCCGATAGAAATTACAAAAACTAAATGTAGAAACACCAATATTTCATTTGTATCCATTTAGTGATTCATTCACAAGCTGAAAAATTTATTAGAATCTTTTTGTGTGTATGTTTTTAAACAACAAATTTCAAGCAACATCAAAAATCAATTTGTTAAAATGTTGTC